GCAGATGCCCTCAAACCTGCATGAACTGAAGCAACGCTGTAAAGAGTGGGCCAAAATTCCTCCACAACAATGTGAAAGACAGATAAAAGTCATACAGAAAACAATTCCTTCAATTTATTGCTGCTAAAGGTAGTTCTACAAGCTATTGAATCATAAGCTGTACAGTACAGTACTTAGTTTTTCACAAAATGGCTTCTCCATTTTGGCTTTATTTTTGTTAAATCATGACATGGTGTAATATGTCATATGTTGTTGTTCATATGAGCTTGTATTTACCTAATTTTCAAACCTGCTAAGGACCAGATGATTTTTATTCTGTCCTCATTCATAAACAGAATTCAAAAGAGGTGTACTTTATTTTTCACATGACTATACGTGGCTATCCATTTTCTGTGAGGCTAAGCATGTGTGATAAACAGCAACAGATAGGGCACTGTAAGAACATAGAACACAAGAGAGAAACAGATTCTCAAAAAGGTGTTCAAATAAAATGGGCACCTGCCAAAGAACCTGTTCTTTCTCTACCTATGTGAGCTTCCAGGTTCTTCCATCTTATATTCCATCATTTCCAACCTCTGCAAATTCTCTGCTCTGCCACGTAAGAGCTATTACGTACATTACAAATAATTTCTACAGCTTTTGCTCCATCCGCAATTTTATGCCTTCAATCTGAACACAATAACTACCACAATCCCCTTTTCCTTCTTGAGTCTGGTTGTGTATCAAAATAAAGTTGACTTCAGCAGAGTGCTGTTTTTATTTTTGGATTTTAACCTATAAAGCCCTAAATGGCTTGGTTCCAAACTATATAGAAGACTATATCTCCCTTTATAAGCCTGCTCAGATACTAAGATCATCAAGAGAGGTGTTTCTCTTAGTCCCACAACCCTCACAGAGATATTTGGTGGGGACATGGGAGAACTCCTGAACTTTGGAACTCCCTTCCACAGGAGGCCATCTTTGCTGCCGTTCTGTAAACAGACATTTATCTTCAGGCAGCTCTTTGCTGCCATTCTGTAAACAGACATTTATCTTCAGGCAGACTTCCCTGGACCAAGAGGATTTTTTAAAGGGATTATTGCATTCTTTTGTTTTACTTGCATTTTTAATATTGCTCTTATTTATAAGTCTTAATATATTTGATTAATTCTTTTTAAATATAATACTAATTTATTATTTTAGCTTTAACTTTTTAATACTGTAAGCTGCTTTGGATTGTGTAGGAGAAAGGCAGCATATAAATATTTTAAAAATTACCGTAATTTGGTGGGTAGCAATAGATACTCAGTGTGTTGTAACAGATAGAGTGACAGACTAGGACTCAGGATGCCTGGATTCAAATCCCTGCTCAGACAGAATAACTCACTGGGAGTGTGGAACTAGTCAAGCCACTCCTTAAATATCTCACTTCCCTTGAAAGCCCTATTAGGTGAACGAACGAAGTTGGCTTCAACTTGAAGGCACATAACAACAGTGGTAAAGTATTAAAGATTTAACAATCATAGTCTCAACAATTACCTCATTCATACCATGGATATCTCACCGGATTTTTTTTAACAAATTACTGTATTTATCCACTCAGTCAAGTTTTGAAATTGTACATAAAACTGGCTCATAATTGGTATAGGGGACCTGGGGGGCATTTTCTAGAAACAGTTGGCCATTGAAGAGGGATTAAACACACATCTCACTTACACATTGATCCTCAAACTGTTCGTACCTCACTTGGCCCTGTATTTTCTTTATCTCGGCAAGCATATGTTTGCTAAGATAATGCATAGTTTTAGCTGTCACTGAGACCTTTTTCTTAGTAAACATAGGAGGTTATGGTTGCATATGTTCCTAAAACCAGGATCTCTTTCATTTCAGTTTCATCCTAAAAGAAAGGGAATAAATATTTGATGTAGCTGAAATTGTACAACTGTTTATCAGTCATTCCAATGGAAATGGAGGTTCTGAGAAGAGATTCACAAGTTATTTTTATGGACAACAAGGTGTTTCTTACAAACCACATTGGATTGTAATGGAAACAAGGAGTAAAGTTATGAAATGAGGCCAGGGTATAGAGATACTCTACGGTAGTGGTGCTTTTGTTTAAAGCAGAGGATACTGATAATTATATTATGTTTGAAAGCAACACAGAACAACTTCTGTAACAGCCAGGCAGAACTATTCATTGAAGGACAAAGCAGTAATTGTTCTCTAGTTCAGCAGCATTTTGTGTTTTTTTCCCCCTTACTCTTAGATAATTTGGAAGAAAATGGTATTTGTCTTAAAAGAACAGAAATTTGCTACATATCAATAAGTAAAACTGATGCAAGTAACAATTGTCCCATGCAAGGTTCCACACTACTGTGAGTGGAAGTTTTAGAGTTTTTATGCTAACCCTTAGGGACTTCAGTATTATTTTTGTCCTCAAGGATTTTTCCCCTAATAGACAGAACTCTCAGATAAAAGCATCCAGAGTATATCCCTTTCTAACGAAACATATGAAGACTGAATTGCTCAGAAAGCTGTTTTTTAATTGATGCATTTGGTTTACAGAATAGTAATTTAGCTCTCCTCTAATGTAATTGTGCTTTTGAAATGGCTCTAAACTTCCTTTATATACACAGAAAAGAAAAAAAGCAAACAGTTATATATTAATTGTCATTGTTAGCCATCCAATAACCAGTATTCTTTGAGCAGCATACAACATATGATAAAAACAAACTTTCAGAATGAAACACAGCAATATATTTGCGAAGGCTTTCATGGCCGGGATCTAATGGTTGTTGTGGGTTTTTTGGGCTCTTTGGCCGTGTTCTGAAGTTCGTTTCGCCAGTCTCTGTGGCCGGCATCTTCAGAGGACAGCACTCTGTGCTCTGGTGGACTATTCTAAAAGTTTAAATGAGTTAGTATCAATATGAGGCAGGTAGTAAATAATTGATTAAATCAGTAAAAACTGGTCCATGAGTATTCCTCAGCTAAATAGGAAAATCTAAAGAAAATTTTGCCATCTGTAAAGTTCTGTTGGAGCTGTTTTTCCATTACATGTTTATTCTGAAACATATTAAGGACATTTTCAATATGATTAGAGCTTCTTTGTCAGGGACAAACACTCTGCAAATTATTATACTGTACTTTCATCACTTGACAAAATTGTGAAGGACACACAAACATGCACACACTGCAATAAGCATCACCATCTGGGTGACTTTCAAAATTGCATGATAAAATATCAGGGCACAATTCCCTGAGTCATGAAAATGAGGCTGACTAAATCTTAAACAAGTTTCTGGAGTGAAAAATGACTCTGTCAGTGTATTGGGCCTTAGACTGAAAATAAAAAGAGTCCACCAAGCTGTCGGCGGTGCTATTTCCATTCAGATTTGTGGCCCTTGCCAAGTCAAGATGCACCAAGGTAATTTTTATGTCTTCTGAGTATAGGCAATCACTGTTCAACAATTTTTGTTCTATGTTTTATAGAATCACTTCTAATTAGGGAGACCAAGCACAACTACCATCGGATATATAACATCATTAGTTCAAAGGGTGAATCCAATGCTTATAGTAGATCAGGATCAAGTGAAATATGATCTCATTTTTGTCAATGGAGATAGCAGATTATGGCCTAATCTGAAGCAAAACCATCCCATTTTCATTCCTCCATCGGCACTACTTCAAGTAGCCAATAAATCCCACCACAAAAAGATGTGAGAATCAAGAACTCTTCCAGATGAAGCATTTGTTTTGTATTGTACCTGATAATTACACTGGTCTGCACTGTTATTATCTTCTACCAAAATCTAAGTCTGACTTGGGTAATGTGACTTGTAGTGTGTTGCTTTCAAATTCAGATCTAGCCTGAAATTACATTTATTCTAGTACAGTATACATAAAGCACAGATAGACAATTTTTTAATATGTCAGAAGGACTATTTTTCTGCCTCAAGAATCCTTAGGAGGGCCACATGGCCTCCCAAAATGCCATCTACTCCAAAACAATAGAACCAGAAGTGGCCATAAATCTGGAAGGCTGCAAAAACTGTGCTACCTTGAACCACCTCTGGTAGAAAAAATTCAGGTATTGTGAGTTCAACTGACTTTGTTCTGGGATGCCAACCTAGGCACGGGTTTCCTAAAAGTTTTAATCTTATTTTCAGGTGAATTTCCAGTCTGTTCAGGTGGCAGAAGAGCAGTGGAACCAATCCCTTGCAATTTATGAAAGAAGTGGTCTTGAAAGTTCCCTGACAAAGCTTGGAAATCCCACTTTTCTTTTCCTTCCTTTTCTTCTTTCTTCTTCTTTTTCTAGAATTACAGTTCAAACATTGTCCAGCCCTTATCAACACATTTGTTTTACAGCTCAGCATAATTTATTTGGTGCTGAACTGTACCATCGTACCCTTTAGCTGCTAAATATGCTACACTCGGTCACAATACGGAAAAGAGGATGCCCGCCCATGTAAGCAAGTTAAGTCAGCTGGAAAAACCCATCCTCAGAGTTCGGGGAGTCTTGATTAATAGGCTCCGGTAGGTGATCGCATCCTTTAAATTAAAGCTGCCAGGTATTGTTAATTGGGGGGGGACTAGATGGCGCTAATAGTTGTTATGAGCTGAGTGGAGTATTAGGTTTTAAAGTGCTTTTAATCGAGTTCGTCTGCTTTTTAACATCTGTGATCGGAGGAAGCTTCTTCCGGTTTATACCATATATATTTTTAATAAATCCCACTCACACTAGAATCGTTAAACAATTCCATGGAAGCAGGGCTCGCTGACAAGCGATTTGTTCTAAGTAAAGCCTGCATAGATCGTGGCTATTACATCTCGAGCCGCGTTTTCTATATATATATATACAGTACTGTATAGGCAAATGCGGCTCGAGATGTAACAGCCACGATCTATGCAGACTTTACTTAGAACAAATCGCTTGTCAGCGATATATATATTTTATTTTTATTTTTGTATCACATTTCTGTGCAATACAGTAGTTAACTCACAGGAACACTCTATTCTCAAGAGAACAAGAACTGGCAAAGTCCTCTAGTCTAGCGGATACTGCTCCACCCGCTACCTAACACATTTTTTTGGTGGGGGTGCGGGGGCTTAATCTGCGCGGCGCAGGTTCAAGGCCAGCCATTCTCCACTGATTACGTCACCCGCAGCCTGCCTGTCCATGACGTCATGGTGCAGAGCCCGGGCCACGGACCGACTCGAATCCCATGCGCTCCCTCTCCAGTCTCGGGTTCTGGAGCGGCTCAGCTCATGCTGGACGCTCGCCACCGCCGCCCTCGCCCTCTTTCTGCTCCCCTCCAGCCTCAGGCGGCAGAGTCAGGGGGAGCGGCTCCCCGATCCTCCCGCAGGGGCGCGGGGGCCAGAGGGCGCTCAGCTCTCCCAAGAGCCGCGGCGAAGGAGCCCAGCTGCCGGCGGCTCCGGGAAGGGGGCGGCGTTTGTGGTTCAGGGCGGGTCCCGCTTAAGCTGCCGCCGGTGCCTGGCCGGCTCGGGAAGTGAAGGAAAGGGAAAGGGAAGAGGGGAAAAAAGAGAAAGCAGCCGGATCGCCGGGGCGTGCTGCTTGGGGCTGGCTGGCTGGCAAAGAGGATGGCGGTCGGTACGGCAGCAGGGGCCGCAGGGGTGCCGCCAAACCCCGGGCCGGCTGCGGTCTCGCTAGGCTTGAGCGTGGCGGTGGTCTCCAGCCTAGTCAATGGCTCCACGTTCGTGCTGCAGAAAAAAGGGATCGTGCGGGCGAGAGGACGAGGTAGGGGGGCTCCCACGGCCGGCCTTGCGCCCCGATCCCTCTCCCTTTCCTTTCCGTTGCGAACGGCCGGTTATTTTCTCTTGCCGCGGGTCCTGCAGTCGAAACGGCCGGGTCTCCTTGCAGCAGTGCCCGTCCTCTTAATGATGATCGCGTGTCCTCCTTCAGCGCTTCGAGCCCCCGCTTCCCGCCGCCACGATCCCCTTACTCGGAGGGAGGTCGCCCTCCGTGGCGCACGCAGCCCACCTCTGGAGGCCTTAGACGCCCGTGAACCCCCAACATAGTTCGCCCTCACACTTGGTTATCATTTTTCAGGGCGCCTGCTAGGCGTGGAAAAAAGCCATTTCTGTGCTTCCAAAGGCACAAAAGCCGTGGTTTTCGGCTTGGTCAAACCTGCGAGTGACGGTGAACGTGTGCACGTGTAAGGCGCCTGTGTAAGTGAGGGCGAACGGCCCAATGCAGTGACACCGCTCCCGGTCTGCAGGTGTGAACACAGACTTTGACCTCTGGGCAGGTCGCAGGCTAGTGTGGCTGGGCTGAGTCGTCCGTTTCCTCCCTCTCTCCAACTACCTCCTCTTAAAACTTTAATTCGTTTCTTGGGGATGTTGAGGTCTCTCGCTCTCGCTCTCTCTACCGCTGCACCTTTTCCGTCTTTCCAAAGTCGATGGCTACATTTTGTCAAAGCCACTTTTCTGCCCTTGGTGCTGGTGGGAGGAATTACCAGTGGGCATCATAGTGGGAAGACTTTATCCTCAGGTAGTTTGTGTAATTCTTATTCTCTGCTTATTCTCTTGGCCCATCCTGGGGGGGAGAAAGGAAAGTGTCAGGCCAGGATCTTAGAACTTACGTACGCCTTAAGTTTCTTTTTTGTTCTGGTTTATAAGTAGTGTTCAAGTTGCACATCAATGCTACATGTTTGACAAGAGAGTGGCATCTTTCCTCTTAGCTTGAAAAGGAATTAGAAATTAGTGTGAACACAAGAGAATCCACAGGTTTCAGGAGATGGGATTCAGAAGACTGCTTTAAGCATTTCCAATAGGATCTTTCTCAGCCGTTGAAAAGCTGGTGCCCTGGACCAGTGGTTCTTAACCTTTATTATTCAGATGCTTTCGAACTGCAACTCCCAGAAACCCCGGCCAGCACAGCTGATGGTGAAGGCTTCTGAGAGTTGCAGTCCAAAACTCCTGAGTAACCCAAGGTAAAGAACCAGTGCCCTGGACTAACTAAAATTCCATTTTAAAGATAATTTGCCCTACAGCATATGGGGGAAGCCCTCCAACTGCTTTGGAGAACTACAGGTCCCAGAATCCCCTAGCCATCCCAGCCATTCACCCTACTGGCATTGTCCATAGTGACTTGTGATTCTGAAAACTGCAGCCCAAAAAAGTATTTTTTTCCCCTTAACTTTGGACCATCTCTGTTTGGGAAGTACAGGTGCCATGCTGCCATGGGAGTAGATGACGAGTTGCCTCGTTCTTCTGAATTTGTGCCATTATAATTAGTTTTACTACTAGAGATATAGTGAGCATACAAGCCATCAAATCAGGCTGAGAGTTGCAACATTCTGCAGTTAATTGTTTAGATTTGTGCATTAAACTCAGTTATCTAGGACTTCTTGCATTTTCTTGGGGTGCTTAAACCCAGCAAGAGAACTTTCATATCAAACAGAGGCAGAAAGATGATACTGACATTTCTAACATAAACTGATCTGTGCCAGGAATTAGGCCTGGAGGGGAATTGTTGCCCTCAGTTGGTTCTCCTAGTCTGGTTATAAAACTATTCAGTTCTGCCTAAACAAGACCTGCTCTAAGACAACACAGGAAATTTCCTTGATTTCCTGTCTGTCTGATGCTGGTCATATAGAACACTGCAAGATTATCTGTAAAATTCAGTCATTTCGATCTTTTTGAGACAAATGGGAGAAAGACAGTAGTACTTTCACAAACTTCTTGTGACAGCTCTGTTTACAGTAGACACGATTATTCATGTACTGTACTTCAGAGTGTCTTGTATAACACATTCAGTTGAGAAACAGCTTTGTCATGTTTTTATCTTCATGTTGCTCAGAGAATCTGCATTATTGGGTGAAAGATGCTGAAAATCTCCTTCATCTAGTTCTTTGTGTACATAACCATTATTGCAAACTTCTTACTCAGATTAAATTGCTCTGAGAGATTTCAACGTGCAAAACTCCTTCACAGACCTAGGCACTTGAGATGTTGGTTTCATTATCTGCTGTATTTGGTAACCAGATAACCAGAATAGACGTCTATGTGTGAATCAATTGTTGCCACAATCTCAGGGCAATCCTGGGGCAGAACTTTTTCTCTATGCATTCATGTGCATAGAGGAACTACAGATATAAATGGGATGCACATCAGATTGCAAAAGCTATTTGCCTTGTGCTACTTCTGATGGAATGTGCATTTGAATGCATATCCAGATGTGCAATCAAGAACGTTGAGAATGGACATTCCCATTTGCAGCAAGCCAAATTCAGCCCCCCCCAAAAAAAACCCAGTAGGTTTCTAACACACAAGCCAGATGGGGGCACACATCAGTTTATCTGGATCAGGATGGGACATGTGTGTTACAGATACCCTTTTATGCATGCAGGTGTGCAAATATACTTGGTGCAAACATGTATGCAAGCTCATTTTAACTTCCACAGGTTGTGATGTTTCAGAGGAAATTATGCAATTTTTATGTACGGCTGGTATGTAATTTGAATTCAGGTCAACAGGTAAGTTTCAGACAGTGCAAAAAAAAGCTGTAGATCCAAATTCTGAATGTTTAGGGGTGGTTTTTCTTCTTTCAAAGCTGGAGTGAAGGGAGAGTGCTTCTGGTCACACGCATAAGATCTTCCTCTCGTGATGTAATAGACAATGCATGCACGCCAAAGAGGCAGGACCTTTGCGTGGTGGAGACTTCTCAACATAGCTGCTCATTGTTTTTGATATATTTTCCTTTATTTTGGAATTGTGAGCAGGAGTGTGTCCAGTTTTGTATACGTGAGATACATTCTATGATTTGGAGAAGCGACGTTTCATTGCCCTTTTCTGGTGGAAAATTTCCCATTTCTAACAATGAATAATTTCTCAAAATTAATGAATTTATTAACAAATGAATACTGACATGCCAATCTAGAGTTGCAAATAACTTTACAATTAACTTTTATTCAGGTGACTCTTCTTAGCAAGTGTGCAGGAATTTATGGCAAACATTTATTCTATCTCTTCAGGCATGATGAAATTAATCCTAAATTTTTCAGGTGGTTTTTTTTTTATAATCACAGCATGCTACTGTGATATCATGCCCTAACACGTTTACAAGTTTACTAATAAAAAAGATAATATCCTACTAAAGTTTAAAATTAGTTTGAATATAATATTTAGGTTCCATGATAAGTGGTTTCTCCCCACCACTACCATCCAATATTACAGCTGAAGTACTTTGGGCTTTTGGAAATCTATTGAGATAGTTTTGCAACATGTAAGTTTAGCATGGCATACGTTGTTAGAAGTTAAACAGGCCAGTTCAGGAGTGTATCAATTCAGGGCACTAGAGAAATTTTTGAAAATGTTCCTGATAAAAAATTTTAATGAAGAGTTTTCCAGAACACTCCTGTCATTACATTCTTCTGATAATTGTTGCATCCTGATTGCTGTTGAATTAATTGATGAGCTGTGAATGAATGTCATGACAGATGTGCCCCAGACAGAATGTTGCTGTTGCCACAAATCCCAGTGTTTTCAATGGAATCCTTTCATGCACTCATTGTAGTGTAAAGAGGATTTGGGAAATTGTTCAAAGTGCTTCTTCCAGAACCCCATCTCCTGCATGCCTAGTAGCACAAGGGTAGGGTAGGGGTCATTTAGGACACGCAGTGTTGGGACAGGGCTTGTAGGTATTGGTCTATGTTGGCGTGGTCATGCCTGAATGGGACTTTGTGTGTGTGCTTATACGTCATCCCTGCTTCTTCCCAGCCCCAGCTGCCAACTCATCTTGGTGAGATTTAAGTCACGTAGCCCAACCCTGTGCATGTTTGGTATGCCCCACTGAGTTCAGTGAGAATCACTCCCCTGTGAGTATGTATAGTCTTTCAGATAACTGCTGCAAGACAAGCAAGTACTTCAAAAGCTTGCTTTACAACAACCTGTCCTGAAACATAACAATTTGGAGCGCTGTCGCTACCAGCTGACAGTATGAGCTAGCTGTCTGGCATGTCTCTTTTGCATTTTTCATCGACATGTGATGCATCCACACTCCGTTTTTGCTGTTTTATAAATGAAGTCTAAATGAGAATAAAATGAAAGGTTTGGTTTCTAAAGAGCCAGTTTTTTTATTTCTGCAGAGTGTCATTCTCAGATTTATTTGTTTGTTTGATCTGGAAATTGTTTGCAGGAATGTAATACAGTATGGGTACCGATACAAAAGTCTGTTTTTCACAGTAGAAATGCATTGCCTGTAATATTGGTCCAATAAGTTCCAACACACCAAACTTGGTGATGCCCATTTTGGATATTTATAGACCGAAATCCCATTCCTTAGCATAGGTAACATTCAGTTCAGTCCTAGCAAAGAAAGCATCTCCACTGCAGTTCTCAGGGATGTACACACACAAACCAGGCCAGTTTCTACAAGTGACCCTAAGAGTCATGGTGGGGACTCTTTGGCTGAAATCCTGATGTGCAACTCCATGTGTGCAATGGTACTAAAAATAGCAGCAGAGCAGAAGTGCTGTTCATAAAGCAGTTCTGCATGTCTGCCACACAACAAGGTAAAAAGGAGTTACACAATTGATTGTGCAATCCGGACCTCTTGGGTGTAGCACCTGGCAGGCATAACAAAGTATAATTGTTGTAGATCAAAAGCTGAATATGACTCATAAAGCAGTTCTTCATGTCTGCCACACAAACAAGGTAAAAAGGAGTTACACAGTTGATTGTGCAATCCGGACCTCTTAGGTGTAGCACCTGGCAGGCGTAACAAAGTGTAATTGTTGTAGATCAAAAGCTGAATATGAGCCAGCAATGTGGTGTGGCTGTAAAAAAAGGCAAATGCTATTAACAGAAGTATAGTCTCAAATTCCCATGAAGTACTAGTATCCCCACTATTTAATGTGGTGTGGCTGTAAAAAAGGCAAATGCTATTTTAGGAGGCATTAACAGAAGTATAGTCTCAAATTCCCATGAAGTACTAGTATCCCCACTATTTAGCACTGGTTAGGCCTCATCTAGAGTGCTGTGTCCAGTTGAGGAAACTGCACTTCAAGAAGGATGCCAACAAATTGGAACAAGTTCAGAGGAGGCCAATAAAGATAATCAGGGGATTGGAAACCAAACCCTGTGAGGAAGGAATTAGGCATTGTTAAACTTGAGAAAAGAAGAGTGAGAGGAGATACGATAGCACTTTTCAGATACTGGGAAGGTAGTCATAGAGGAGGAGCAGGATCTGTTCTTGATCATCCCAGCCCACATAATAATGGGCTCAAAATACAGGAAGCCAGATTTAAGCTGAATATCAGGAAAAACTTCCTAACTGTTAGAGCAGTATGACAATGGAACCTGTTATCTCAGGAGGTGTTGAGCACCCCAACATTCAAGAGAAAATTGGGCACTCATCTGTCAGATCTGCTTTGACTTGGATTCCTGCACTGAGCAGGGGGTTGGACTCGATGGCCTTAAAGGCCCCTTCCAACTCCAGTATTCTAGGATTGTACAACTGTACATTCTGCAAAGACAAAGATTTCAGCCTTTCTTTGCCAGCTAGAAACAGAATGTTATGAATTTTCTTAGCTAAGCAACAGGATTTGCTAAGAATTTTTTTATTCAGATGCTGAACTGAATGCTTAATTGTTCGGTTGCTCTTCAGAAACTTACACTATGTGTCTCACTTCAGTATAGACCCTCCGTTGGCACGGAGGTGAGGGGACTGTTCTATCTCCTGCCAGTTTGAGGACTCTCAGTCCCATAATAGAACCTGGGCGGCGGCAGGGGGGGGGTTCCTGATGAATTATGGGGCTAGGAGTTCTTTAATTCCAAAAATCCTTGCTTTGTTAGATTTGACACACCTGTGAACCTGTGTGAAGAATAGTAAAATTTCATTATTTGTAAAAGTAGTCATATGTAAATTACACTTACCATATTATTAATGTACTCTTCTCTGGTTCTTCATTTTCTAGGAACTTCATATTTAACTGATATAGTCTGGTGGTCAGGCACTATTGCAAGTAAGTATACTTTAAAGTAACTAGTCAGGCAATCCTACATCCTAACTAAATTAGTGGAGAGTGGGAAGGTGCTGCAGCATCTACACCAGCGGTTCTCAACGTTTGCCCCTCCCCAATGTTTTTGATTTTAGCTCCCAGAATCCTCAACCACTGGCCATACTGATTGAGGCTTCTGGGGATCAATGGCTGAGAACTACTGTTCTACATCACCCTTACCCAACCTTGTGCCCAGCAGATATGCTGAACTACAGCTTCCATAATTTCTAACCAATGTACCCTTACGGCCATGCTGGCTCGTGTGGGTATCCTAAAACATATGGAGAGCATCAATGGAGAGCATCAGCTTGGGTAATGCATGCTCAGTCCACTACATATGGGATGTCCTACTGGAACACTATTCATGTTGATAGCATATAAGCATATATTGTGTTCCATCAATTTAAAAAAGGCTCTTGCAAAATCCTTGGCCAGTGTTACTGAAATATAGGATTGCCCTTGTAAAGGAGTGAATTAACCTGTTTTCAGGTAGGTAGCCATGTTAGTCTGTTTCAGCAAAAACAACTATGAAATTATGGTTCCACCTTTAAAACAAACACATTTATTTAAATCTGAGGTATCTGAAGAAGCAGATGGTAGTCTATGAAAGCTCACAGTGAGATGTGCTAGACTTAAAGGTGTCTCTCTTTTTTGTTTCATTTTAAACAAATTGTCTTTGTATTGAATGTGCAAGTGTCAGACTTAGATTTTCCTTAGCAGGGGGTGGCGAGTTGTTGTGTTAGCCTGTTGCAGAAAAAGCAACAAGGAATTTTGTGGCACCTTGAAAGTGAACACCTCATTACATGCAATAATTAAATTGCATTCCCATTCATCTTATTCTATTACTAACTTCTAGAGTTTGTTCCTCTGAAGGTTTTAAGTAGCATGTCTTATGAATGCCCACTTTAACCACTGTCATGAATTTTGGATTTATATTATTCTATGTGAGAAGTGCATTTGGTTACAGTAGCTTCATATCTTTTAAAAACACAAAATCTTTGATGCTTAAAAATATCTGGTATTTCCCATGTAAACTGAAAAGACTGTGCAATTCTGATCTTTTTAGAATGTTAAGGTTTTATAGAAAGAAGGGGCAATCAAGTGTTGGCCTCCAGTGGTTGCTTGGCAACATTTCCCGTCAGCCTTTCCTGCATGTGTCCAGCAGAAAGGGATTGTGGGAATTGCAGTTCACCAATAACTGAAAGGCCACAGTTGTTCACATCTGTTTTAAACAAAAAACACCTTTAGATATCACATTGCTAAACATAAAGGCTACCCTCCATGGTTTACAGTAGGTCAGTAAATTCCAAACTCGGAGCGTGCTGTCTTCTTGGACTATAACTCCCAACAGTCATGACCATTAATTCCTCCATGTAACTCTGTGCTTCTATGAGTTGTAGTCCAGCAACATGTGTGACAACAATTTTGGTAACCATTGTTCTAGGTGGGCAAGCAAATCTTTTTAATCATCTTAAAACCTACTTAGTGCTGTCATAAATCTGGCTACATGCTGCAGACCTCAAAAACACAGACTGGAAATGACTTGGTCTCAGATGTTCAAAGTTTATTGGTAGGTCATATCCTTGAATTTTATGTTGCATGTTTGACAGCTAAATTTGCAGAGATAGGGCTGATTAAAAAAAAACTTGGAGATGAGTAGGTTCAGATATCCACCAAACATATTTAAATGACAGATTCAACATAAACATTCTTCCTGCTTTAGCTGGTGACAATAGATTCCCAATGAAAGACAGTGCTAGAAAACGCAAAGTCTAGCTAGCACATGTAAGCGGTAGGAACCTAGGAAGTTTCTTCATATGGTCCATCACACTCAAGGGTAAACCACCTCTTCTCTTTTGAGGGTCACGTTCCCTCATATATCAGCCATGGATGGGACTAATACCAGCACTGAGCAGAGCAGACCCAAAAGCTGATAGGTCATCTTTTCACTTTCTGCCACTTCTTCACTTAGCATTCTTCCATTGATGGGACAAATCACTCTGGCTTCAGGCCTGAGCACTTGCAGAGAGCCACATGCAATTAAGCTAAGGGCTGCATGCAACCCTAGTGCCACTGACTGCTCACCCCTGATTTAACACAATGTGGTCTACACTATCTACCCTCTTTCTCTGGGTTTGAAGAAACAGAGATCTTGCCCTCTCTGGAGATGCTGGGGGTTACCATGTAGAAACTTCTTTGCATATAAAAGCATTTGCTCTGCCATTGACTTGACTCTGAGGAATGAGCCACATGAATTTGGGGTTTTTTTGCCTGTGCCTCTGACATTAAGAGAGAAAAATAAATGAAAAAGGACCTATGTGATTCAGCCCTCAGTCATAAAGTATATTCATAAAGTATATTGACTGGACAAGCACTGAATATTCAGGTGGACACTGTGAGCCATTTAAAATATAAGTAGATTCCACTAGCAACATCAATATAGTTTGGTTTTTTAAAGTAAATGTTATGGTTGGGTATGTATGAGGAAATTAGGTGAACTTTAAAATAACTGTATGAAATATGACATGCCTTTCACACATACATTTTATCACTTGTCTTGCTATTGTCAGGATAGTTTTACTTTTTCTATAGTTGATTTTATAATTTATGACTTTTTTCTTTTTTTGTATACTGTCCCGAGTAGCAATCTTGGTGGTATAAAAATCAAATAAATGCATAAGTAAATACAAGTAGAGATGGGCATGAAGTGTTGAACTGGTGGTTTGTGCTGGTTTGTTGTTCGGCCAAACAGATGTCTGGCAATTCCTGGCCCCGCCTTCTCCGGCAGGTGCCCACTCAGAGGCCGCACCCTGTCTTCCCTGCCCCACCTTCTCCAGGCACTGCCCCTGAGAGGGAACCTGCTGGAGGCAGCAGGTCCGGAAGCGTCAGACCCCTGTTCAGCCAAAAAGCAAACTGGCACGAAACAGTGTTTCCTGCCGATTTTTACTGACAAGCTCTTGTTTAGAGTTGTTTGGATTTCTTTTAACAGTGTTTCCTGCCAATTTTTACTGACAAGCTCTCGTTTAGAGTTGTTTGAATTTCAATTTTTTTGGAATGTTGAATTTAGTTAGCTATAAATCTTGTAAATAAATAGAGTGGGCAGTGCCAGTTTATGAAAAGGACATGGTATCATGGTGTCCAGAGCATCAAAAATGCAAACAAACCTTTCAATTCAATGAATGGTGAAGGAGATATTTTTAGTTAGTACAGAAGGATTGCTTTTGAAAGAATGTAAGGACAATGTGTTTTCAGCAAACATTATCCACAACAGTAATCTTTGACTATAAGTAATCTTCAATTGTAATGGTAGACTTGGTGTTCTTGACACACACAAAAAGCAAATAAGAACAAAAAATGTTTCTTCAGGAACCTGTAAGTGGGGGTTATTTGTAGGAAAAACTAGAAACTTCTGGTTTTGAGCCAAACCGTATCAGGTCAGGAAGTCATTGGTCTATCCTGAATTCTAATAACAAAGTTCTAACAGCAGTCATGCTGGCTGAATAGCTCAATGGTGTAGGTATCTGGTTGGAGAGCTAAAGGTTGGGAGTTCAATTCCCCACTATGCCTTCTGCAAGTAGATCCAGTCTGTGTAGCCTTGGGCAAGCTGCACAGTCCCATGGCACCAGGGAATGATACATCTGAGTATTCTTCTACCTGGAAAGTCCTGAAGAGGGTTGCCATAGGTCAGAATTGACTTGACAGCATATAGCTGTTGAATAGCAAACTAGTTCTCTCAATGTAGAATCTTACTTAGGTAAAACAGTACAATTGCATAAAAGTAGTAACAGAAGGTTTAGGAAGACCCAACGATTATAAAAATAGCCCTTATACTGTATTCAGAATAAAACTAAAGGGATGAATATCATCACCACTACACATGCAAAGCCGCCCAACAGGATTTCAGCCACTAAATGCTTGTTGGGGGCCTTTTTTCCCCACTCTCTCATGCCTTTGGCTGCTTTCTCAAAATGTTAAAAAATACTTGCAGGGGGTTAGGAAGGGATATGAATGAACTGTCACCCCTAATGGTGCCTAAATTTCACTGCCTGAGGCATCCCTCTCAGCTTGCTGCACTTCAAGGCTACGCCTGCATTCAGGTCTTATCTTGTGAGTACTTATTGGTTAGTCAAGGTTCAGTACATCTCAAAGTCAAGTCAAGGCCAAGTTCATTGTATTAGATAAAAGCCGTCACAATTGTTTAAAATACAAATATGATCAAATAAAATCATGATAAAATCATAGACATATAAAACAATAGGAAACCCTTCATATCTGGGAGTCCCCCACACATTTTGTAAGATCTCAAAATATTTTGAAAACAAACGGAAGTGAAATGATTTCAATTTAGAAGTGGAAATGTTCTCGATTAGTATTGCTTTAATAAAAATGCCACCCTTCTCCCCCTCGTCTCTATCCCAAATTGTCTTGATGTAGAAAACACCTTCCCCCTACTTGGTGCCTTTCAGATGCTGTGGGCTACCATTCTTATTAATTCCCAGTCAACATGGCTATGAGATGAGAGTTGCGGTCCATGATACATGGAGTGCATCATGTTGGGGAAGATGTGGTAGGCCACATCTCACAAACTGAGCTGATGTGGAAGTGTTGACATGTGAGCATAAAGATGTGGATAAGTAAATTCATCTCAAAGCGATTTACAATAAGAACAAATACAATAAAACCAGTAGCTGGAAGTAATAAAGCTATAGAAACAAGTTAAAATCCATTGAAACCATTTCATTGAAAACAAGGAACTTGTAGTCCTGACAATGAGGCAAGTACCTGAATAAACTGGTGAGAAACATTTAATACGGGGACTTGGATTTATCTTCCCGTGAAATCCATTCCATAGGGTGGACACCACAACACAGAAGGGCCCCCCATCTGCATTCCCATGATATCTGACCCCAGATTCCCTAATGACCCATGTTCAAAAGCATTGGGAACAAGATTGGGCCCAGAGA